GGTGGTGCGGAGAAAAGACAATTATCAATTATTAACTTTTAATAATCTATATATAGTTGCATTGTCAATATTTATAGTTCTCATAATAGATAAGAATTAGATACATTTCTTGTGTATATAGAATAAATAATATATGTACTAACAATCTAAAAGTCTTATAGACTATCACATAATTATAAATCACTATATAATATATATTATTAAATTTTTTATAATAGTTATCTTAAAAATCATATTAATTAAATATGATTTTTCAGTAGTACATATAATAAGAATCAGGCAATATTTTAGGAATAACTCTAGTTCAAGTTACACTATTTAATAACACTTTGTACAATTTAATTTTATTAATATTTTTTATTCGGTAATTAAAGTTAATTAATCTAACTGTTAACTTTAAAATTATTTTTATGAGTTTACAAAATTTTGTAAAACTTTAAAATTATTTGATATTTCATTAAATAAAGTTAATGTATAGTATTTTTTTTTTAAAAAAAATATTAATAAGGTTTCATTATAAGATTACATAACTACGCAAGTTTATTTTAAAAACAAAATGGTGTGCATGATCATTAAGTTAATATTAAAATATTTAATAATTGGATTGGTAAATTTTAATATATATATATATATATATAATAAAAATATAAAAGAACAGTTATAGATAGTTTAGTAGATAGAAGAAAGAAAAATAAGTATAAATTAAAAGAGGAAAAAAATAAAAGACAAGAAAAAACAGTTATTACTATATAAGAAAAGTTATGCGTGCTACATTTGCAACACGGATATGAATGAAATAAAAATAATTTATTAATTTATTTAAATTTATGAAAAATTTACTTAAAAAAATTAATTAATTTAATATATTTAAAGAAAAATTATCATCGAATCCATTTGTTAACAATTTTTTTTTCGATAGATAGATATCTAATCAATTCATAAAAATAATATTTTAATTTTTTAAAACAAATTAGAAATAATTTGGTTTTCTATTTTTTTATTACAAATTATTATATTTTTATAAAAAAATTTAAAATTCATAAGATATATTGTTTTATCAAAATATTTTTTTAAAAATTTCAATTTAATAAATATATTATATTAAAAAAATAGTTAATAATCACTAAACATCGATAAAATTAAATTAATAGATTAGATCCAATTTATTATTTATATTTATTATAATAAACAATTAAATAAATTTATTTATTTATAAATAAGATGGATGATAAATAAATGAAAGCTCCTAATTTGCGGCAAGCATGCAATGTATTCTTGAGGAGACGTAAAGATCACGAACGAAATTCGGAAGTAGGTCTCGGAATTCAAGAAAAGAAAATAGTCAAAGACAATATCAAAAAATTGGCCGCAGTAATCAACAAAGATGGAGCAGTTGGTAGTTTTTTTTTTCCTCGAAGGCAGGATCTTTGTTCATAGTTGTTTTGTTTATTGAATATACTTAATTACCATTTTTTTATCTTTCAACTGCGATGGATGGATGAGATGTTTGTCGAATCAGATGCAACACGAAAATCTCTAGTAAATATGAAACCTTGACATTTTAGAGATTCTTTAGTATACTCCAATCTCTATAATATTTAGCTGCTACACCGAATATGTATTTCTTCAAGCATGATTTAGTTGATGATAGAAATAAATAAATAAAGATGATCTATTGTGTGGCGTGGAGTTTGTTTGGATGGTGGGAAACTATTAAAAAACAAAAGTGTTTTTTTTATATAATTTGTAAACAAGTTATGATGTAGAATTTAAAGTTGACATAGTTTGCCCTTAATTGAAAAGTTATTTAAAAAAGATTTATATATTTGTTTTTACAATGGATATAAATTCAATATTATCTCTAATATTATTGAATTTAGTATATGTTATTAAATGGTGGATGACCCATCTAGAATGAATTTATATAATTTTAATATCATTTTAAAATATGAATTATAAGTTTAATTCAATCTTAAAAAATTAACTTATAAAGTGAAGGTTATCTATTTTTTATATTTTTTAATTATCTTAATTAATGTGATACTTAAACTTGTTTTCCAATATATTCAAATTACTAGCATATGCATATCAACACTTATGTCAAATATGTCTTATAGTTTGTCAAATTCAAAAAAAAAGAGGTGGGAATGAGAGGTTTTTGTTTTGTGCCTACATGTGAAGATGGATTTAAGTTAACCTTTAATTTGTACTTATTCATAAATAAATTACATCCAATCTGAGGAGAGATAATAGTAGTTTCTCTTTTTCCATCACTTGTAAATGGGTTTTGGTACTTCCTTGTACCTTTATTAATACGTCTTTCTTTACTGATAAAAAAAAAATCTAACCTATTACTCATCACTTTTAAACAAAGCTAAATATAACATTGACAACCAATTAATAGTTCGATATTGTAATAATAACAATTACTATTGTAGATATTAAATATAGGTTTAAATATATTTTTAATGTCTCAAATTTTTGATAAATTTATTTTTGACCTTCAAATTTAAAATATTTTTTAATTCTTGTCATTTTCAAAAATATTGTGTTAACTCTTAAAAGTGATAGATTGAGACACTTATGCATTATTAACTAGGTTTAATGTAACATTTTTACTAAAAGGACTGTTAGTAAGTAAATTTTATGTGATAGTATTTGATATATTTCCAAACAAAATTTGAGTATAATGACTAAAATAATTTTTTTAAAAATTACAAGAACTACAAAGGCTAATTTTAAAATTTGAAAAACTAAAAACAAATTTACCTTAAATTTAAGGGACTAGAAATATTTTTAAACCTTAAACATATTAATAATATTCGTGAGAAATCTTACATAGATAAGTAAGTTAGGCCCAATCCACATTTTATAAGATAATTTTGTAAGGTTATTTTCATAATAATAATAATAATAATAATTGTGCATAATTAAATACAAGATAGTTTTATAAGATAATTTTTTTTAAAAAAAATGAAGATTACTCTTTATATACAAAATTCAAATATTTATTTATTTATTTATATGTACCACTTGAACTAATTAATCCTTTAATGGGAAGTCCCATCCCATGAATGTAGATTAATTTTTTATTATCAATTTTGAGATAATGTGTAGATCATGTTCATAGAGAAAGTAAGAATTTGTAAATATATATATATATAGAGAGAGAAGTGAATTATAATTTTAAAATTAATGAATGAAAAAAGTTTTGTTTAACTTGTGAATTTGTGCTAAACTTATAAAGTATGCCTAATAATTGGTCTAATCAGATAATTTATATGAGATTATGATTTTTTATAGAGTAAATATATATTTTTTTATCAAAAATAATCTTATTTGAGTCGATAAGATAGTAAAAACTCTCTCTTAAAGTGAGATTTTCTCAAGTTAAAAAAAAAAACTTAAAATTCTCAAGTGTTAAAATCTCACCCTTAATTTTTTTAAACTTCTACTTTATAATAAAAATAAATTATATTCAATATATTTTGAATGATTAAGATCTTCTCTGGTCTGATTTAAAAAAAAATCTCATCCAGTAAAAATGTCATTAAAAGAACTACTTTTTCCTTTCTTGCATAATATTTAACATAATTATATATTCTAAATTCAAATTTAATTACTACTAGTTAAACTGTAACAGTCTTGTTCCATGAGTTTACCAATTTATTTATTTATTTATGGAAATACGAGATTATGGATTTCAAACCTTGATATTTTAATTATAAAAATTAAAAAGAAAAGCGTTTATTCTCTTGCCAACTCATGGATTCTGACCTAATTCATTCTATAAACGGTTTGTTGATTTGTTTTGGAATTGAGTACGATTAAAAATATTCAATCACAAATAGTGGATTCATGGATTGAGCCGTGGGTTCAAACTTCCGAACTTATAAAATTTAACCTATTTTACATATTAATTTTTGAAAAATATAAAATAACAACGCCTAAAAAATCTACAGTATAATAAATAATAACAACGTTTTTTCTTGCTGGCGTTTCGTTTTTAGCTTTATATCAATTCACATGTTATCTATAACCAAAAAATGAAAATATAACATGTTATATGTCAGTTTAATTTATTTGAGATCAACTATTTATTATGTTAAACTCTCTAGTTTGTTTGGTACTTGTGTATATGTTTGTTTAAGAGTTGTTACGTTACTTTTTAATTTCATTTGAGACTTGTAATCATTTTAGTCAAAACTTATTATTAATTTCATGTTTCAGGCTTTTAACATATGTTGTGCATGTTAAACTCAATAATTTACCCAATCCAACAACACCCATTTGTTGGGTCAAGTCAATTTGAAGAATTTTTTTTAATCTACCTCAATCGTAAATCCTTCTAACTAAAGTTGTTAAACAAGTCAATAACTATTAGGATAAGTGTAAAAAATAAGACAATCTATTTTAAGTTTTTTATTTGCCTTAATCTGTTAAATTGTATCAAAACGAATTACTTTATTTATTTTAATATTTTTATATGTGATTTAAAAAAAAATATCAAGCTAAATAAATTTAATACCTTTCTAACTTAATTTTTATTAGTTCGGACCGGATCAAATTGGGAAGAGTATAATTAACTTGAAATTAGGTTTGTCTCTTTGTTTCATCCTTCAAAGCACAACATGCATGTGTTTAAGTATTAGTCTCTTCTAAGGAAAAGGAAATGGCTTCATTCTCAAAGTTCATGGTCCAGCAGGGCCTGCCATATTTGGTATTCTCATTGTATATGATTACTTCAAAATAGTAAAAATACAATTTGGACATGGCACCCAAAAAGGAAATACGATTGAGTGTTCCGTTAAATGAAATTTGGCCTTGTACTATATAGGTTTTAAGCTCCAATTCCATCTGAAAACGATTTTCACCTTATCTTGGTTTGCGACAAACCTAATTAATTAATTGTGAAAGTATAGATTTGGTATAACAATAAAACTAGAATACCAAATAGAAAAGATGTCAATATAACTATCATGGTTGAAGCTTAAACTCTAGCTAGTTAATGCTATCAAAGCGCACTTATTTATATTGCTTTCGCCATTCTATCTATGCAATGGAGTTTTATCAGATTACAAATTTTCACACCATGTTAGCAAAAAGAGGTGGTTTCGGTGTAGCTCTTCTTCAATGAAAGCCCCCGATGGAAACCCTTCTGGATCCAATTTGCCTACTTGTGATTAAACGGGGTAAGAGTTAAACATAGAGATGCAATGTTGTACTAAAAAAATCACAAAATCCACATTTCTTTGATCACCCATGGTAACATAACATGTATTGTGGCACTAGACAGAGGAAATCATTTTGTGGATAACTGTTAGGCTAAATGCTGAGATATATTCATCATCATCTTTTTTAATAATCATGTTATTAAAATAGAGTATTTACTAGTTTTGCTATTAATTAATCTCTATCCAAGAATTTGGTTTGTTACCTTCCGTAGAATCTCTTCTTTCAACTGTATTTTTTTTTTATCTACAAAACAATACTCGAATTTAAGATTTTAATTAAAGATATCAAGTTTAACGCTCATCCTCTGGTTGTAAGAAAAGATGGAAAATAGGATGTGTGCAAGTGAAAATTTCCGACATGATAATAAGAAGAGTGAATAGAGACAAAGTGATGGAAAATTTTTGAGTTAAGAGAAAAAGTGGGCCACAGTGTCTATTGGGGAAGGAGCAAGCAAGCAAACGTTCACTGGTGTTGGAACTTGCGTTCCCTGGTAAACAAGTTTCTCCTAAAACACTTTGGTCTGCTACTAGTCCCCACACCCACATGACTTTGGTTCTCTTTTCCACTATACTAACTCATGATAAATACCCCTCCATTCTACCACAAAATCCACACTTTCAAACCCTCCCTACTAGAAAAAATTCAAACTTAGAAGAAGAAGGTTCAAGAGCAAAATAATGGCCATCAAAATATCCAATAAACTACCACAAGCTGTTGTTCTCAAGCAAATTCTCAAAAGGTGCTCAAGTTTTGGAAAAAAGCAGAGCTACAATGAAGAGGGTCTTCCAGATGATGTGCCAAAAGGCCATTTTGCAGTCTATGTTGGAGAGAACAGGACCAGATATATTATCCCAATTTCATGGCTTGCTCACCCTCAGTTTCAAATTTTGCTCCAAAGAGCTGAGGAGGAGTTTGGCTTCAACCATGACATGGGACTCACCATACCCTGTGATGAAGTCGCTTTTGAGACCCTAACCTCAATGATGAGATAAGAAAGGAGGGATTATCATTATTACCATCATGAATCCCTTGGCTAGTGGTGATTTAGAAGTATGAAAGTCCCTTTGCCGAGTGGTGGTCATGACTTGGTCACTACTATTAACATTTTACGTTTGGTATTGTAATTGTATATAGTATAGATATATAGATTGATGCCCAAGCATATTCCTTGGCAATGTCATTTGTATCTTTAATGAGTTAAATGAAGCAACGTTATTCATGAGGGTATTACCCCCGATGAATATATATTTTGATATCCTCTTTGCTTCAACTTGCATTAGCTTGAAAGAGTTGAGGTTAAATCCAAAAAAGTTGTTTGACATTCATAACTTTTGACCCTCAAGCAAAAAGAAAAACCAAACTTTCTTTTGAGTACTGGCCTAAGTCAAGTAGCAGTTGTGCATTTCATAATTTAGAAGATCCAAATGATCTTAAAATTAAAACATACATATACATATATACACATACACAAATATATATATATATATATATATATATATATATATATCCAACCCAGATTTAATTATGGGGGGGTTTTGGTCAGTCAAAGGTGGTATGAATGCACGGGGCATTACAGAGGGTAATTAATTTCATTGTTACTTTACAAGCTCCATTTTCTCAAATCCCAAACAAGATTTGGGTGACACCAGTTACCAGCGTTCTGTTATTCTTGTTTTATAGTCTTATCCATTATTTTGTAAGTAATTTTTAAAGATGAAAGTCCAGTGGAATAGTTGAAAGTTGGGACATAGACAGGCTGTTGCACATTTCTAAAACTGCAAAAGTTGATTAGCATTACGAAATGCAACATAAAACTGCATATGTGCATACTTCTTATTAATCATGCATGATACATAGTTGATCATTATGTCACATCCCTTTTGGATACGATGCGGGGTACGCTACATTCTCTCTCTCTCTATCTGAATAGAAAGAATTTTATTGACCAAGAGAATAATCACTGCAAATAGGACAAGCAGTTAGAGAAGAAGCCATCACCTTGTTTAGCCTTGCATGGGAAAAGTTTGCTCATCACTCATCAGCCACTAACTCCTTTCATGCATTGGCATCTTCATATCTCAGCTAACGTGTCCTAAATTCCCATTAACCAAAACCGGACGTGATCAAATCTCAGACCACGATTAAGGTTCTTTTTTTTTTTTTTTTTATGATGATGAAATGAAAGGAAGGCATGATTGAGTTATGGCCGTTTGTTTGTGTTTTTTTCACGGTTTAAATTTTTTAATAATTAATGTGTAAAATTTTATGATAATTAGATGCATTTCTTTTTTCACAGCTATAAAATTTATCTTCTTGTTAAGGCTTCATTTTATACATATTAATATGTAAAATGTTAGTCTATATGCCCTTAAAGACACTGGTTAAAGAATAAAAGTAGAAATTTTTTATTAAAAAATATAACAACACTCCTAGTATAACTTTAATATAGTTATTAATAAAAAAGATTATATATTGATTCATTAATCAGTTGCTTAAACTAACAGGACCCTAATAATACATATTTATTCATCTGAAGGACATTCTCAATAATGTTTCATTTACTCTTCCAGCCGACACATGGGACTACGACAGTACCTGTCCTTACAATTACAAGTACTGAGATATTTTCCTTGTAAATTACCTGAGAATTATAGTACATTACATAGCCCCATATTCGTATCTACTCAGCGTACGTGTAAACTCCATACTTTACCACAATTAAATCATAGACCTTTTCTCCTTATTAATCTGTCTGCAACTTGGTCCATTTGGTGCACATGGAAATGAAGCCTCATTGTTCATCAAATGGGGTCCCCTTGGCAATTAAACACGTAGTCCTTTGGTCCCTTCCTCGATTAACATATGACAAAATCTAATTATCTTAAGCCACATACATAAAGCAGAAGTTCAGCTTGTTTTCTTTGATATTAATTGTTAGGCTGCTATATGCCATGGACAAGTGTGTGTGTCTCAGAGACTCACAAGTCCAATCCTAGTCCAACCTTTGTCTTATTAATTTTTGGATTAGCTTAGAACTTTAAATTAATTAGGTTGCTAGTCACCCACTAATGTCGATAGGATGTCTGCTTATATGGAGGACAAGGAATTAGGGATATATTAATCACTGTACAATTGTCTTAGCAAGGAAAGAAATTACAATAAATAATATTTATAGTAATAATTATTATTGACCTAGAAAGAAAAAGACAACAAATTGAAATAATAACAACACTTTCTAGTAGGGAAAAAGAAATATTGACAAGTTAACCACTAAAGTTCACATGTGAAAGTACTATTGTACATGACATGAACTCTTTATGCCGTCGACCTTTCTCTCTGTACTACAGCATGATTCAATAATAATGATGAAGGTGTTTTGTTAGATGAACTTTTCATGATCATCTGGTAAATATTCATTGGTTGATCATGTGTACTGCATTCTAATATATATGCATGTTCTAACTTCAAAGTCCAAATTCTTTTGATGATCCGTGGGACATGGATGAAGCTTATAAAAGGAGACATTAGGTCCATTCAAGATACTGATGTATTTATTTGCATGATGTGGAAGGATGAAGGGGGTTTGTAAAAAATGGGCCTTTATTGCTAAGATGCACCATCCTTATACTCTAATCTAATGATTATAATATTGTAGTAGTTACCAAAATCGAACAGATTCTTGATACGTGCAAAACACTTTTAAAAAATTAATCTCCATATTCTTGCGCAAGTCTCTAAGATATAATAAAAATTTATCTGAATGTATATGTTATGTATAAATAAATGTAAAAGTTAAAAAATAGAATGAACTAATGAATGATAATGTTGAATTTTAGTGGAGTTTGTGAATTTTAAATGCACCCAAAGGCAGAAGTCCAACAAAATAATAAATTTCAAAGATTGACTTGTAATGAGATGTACTGCACAGACAAGACTTGCTTTTGCACGTTGTTTTCGAAATCTAAAACCCTCCATTTGATTATTTGAGGAGCACATAAGGTAGGTTCGGTTGCTGAAGAGTAGTAGGGCAGACATGTCAGGTTCATGAACACTAATTAAGCCTACGTTGCCCACGTACCCATTTTTCTGTATTTTCAATGTGTACACTCATCAACCCCGCGTCAATAAGGCCTAAACTAATACCAAACACAAAAGCTCAACCACTTTAAGAAATTATAAAATGGCTATATCAAGTATATATGTCTCCTAAAATTCAAACTAAATGTTCAACCATGACATCAAATTGCAGGATTTAATGGAGACAAAAGTAATGGTTTATTGTCTGAGTCTTCTTTGGGTGCTTTTGCTTCATTCCAAACGTGGATTCCAGGTACATCACGAAATATGGTCCGTCATAGTTCAGACGATGGTTTTAAATTTTAATTGAGCTTGCACGTGAAATGTTTTTCAATTTCTCATTCGTGATTGAGCACAAAATTGAGTTTATATGGTTAGCTTTTTCTTCTTTTTAAATTAGTTGACTCTTCCATTTAATTCAAGCTTATCAACACACGTGTGCGGTCCACATTATTTTTGGACAAGCCATTAACAATTTCCAAAGTTGTTCAACTTCTAATTAATAAACACTGCCTAATAGAAACATTTCAACTTCTAATTAGTTACAGATAGCTTCCTTCTTTTAAAGTCATAGCTATAATATAATGTTATAATTGTTAAAAGAAGAAAGTTTCCATATATGATATTGAAATAATGTTTGGTTTTGACTTTTTGTATAAAGTCAGATGTTCATGTACCCTTGTTTCCATTCTAGCTAGTTTCATTGTACATAGTTAGATGTACTCTTATTTTTCATTTTGGTTAGTTTCATTTCAAGCAAATTAAAGTAATACTAAACCATTTTTTACCAAAAATATCGGTAAAAAATAGTTGGCAAAAAATATTCGACCTTTAAATTTGATTTAAGTTCCAATTTGATCTTTTATTTTTATTTATTTATTTCTGTAATCTATTTTAATTTTCGCTTCAACCCTGTTCTCATCATTACCTCCATCTTTTAATTTCAAAGGCGTCATTATTATTAGAGCAAGGAGAAATGTTAGTAATGCATCGTGAATCATAAATTTGTCGGTCTCATTTTTTTAAGTAATGCTAGTAATGCTTCAATTTTTTTAACGCTGTGTTTCAAAACTTTGAACTTACTGGTGCCAAAAAAAAAATCTACTTACAACTACAAGGTGAAGAAGCTTGATTACGAGTTTCATTCCTTAATAAATTACACTCGTAATTTAACTGAAAACGAAAAGGTGTTGAAAATATATGTTGCTAATACTGTTCTCATATTCTAAGATATTAATAAATGTGTTATTAGTACTCTTGTTCCCAAAATAGAAACCTTATCGCTCACCTAGCCCAAAACCACAAATCCAGATCATGTACTTGGATTGTAGAAGGCATTATTAACGATGCTTATTGTTGAGGTTGAATAGAGGTGGAAGAGAAACGGCGATAAATTAAAATAAGGACGAAGAATTAGCCATAGTTAAAATGTATTAATAATGATAAATGCCACGTAAACTCCTTAAATTGAAAGAGCATAAAGTTAAAACCTAATGTAAACTTCGAGGATGAAATATAAATTGACAAAATTTTAATCAAACTAAAATAAAGTATCATTTATGTTTTGTTGTATTCCTATTTCCTAATGACTAAGGTTTCCTTTAATAACTTATAATTAATTAGGAAATGCTAACTAGTACCATCATGTCATCATCAGGCCATTGGTTAGGAATTAAAAATATCAACCTATCAGTTTCACTATGTAATTGGGAGTTAGCAACAACAGCCTAGTTATTGTCCACCTAGAAAGAAATAAAAGGAAATGAGAGTTTCATTGTCTATTAGTTGATGGAGGCCGAAATAGAAGAAAAGGATCTTTACCTTTAATAACCAGATTGGCTAAGACTCGATCACAGATTCATGTAATATCAGTGCTGGAATAAGAATCAAACTTCATCCAAAATCAACATATTGAAGAAAAGTACAGACATATATCATTCTCCACAGATTTGTACTATATAGTCTATGTACAACATCATCGGGGAGCTCCCGATAACACTTGAGAATTAACAATGTCATGAATACTCTTATAACAAAAAGAAGTGGCCCAAACTATGAGCATTCTTCCATGTAGTGGTGGCAGAAGAATAGTATTTGATTAAGCATGTAACCAGGCTTGAGCCTACTTAAGAGTTTAACCAATAGTTACCTTCGGTGTCTGAAAGACATGATGTGGCACCAGAGTTGCGTGATGAAAACTCATCGGTCACTCCTTGAATGTCAGACACTATGCTACATGCCTCAGCATGATCAATTTCATTTGAGTTACAGGATCCATAAGAATTTGACCAGTCATAAGTTGGTTTGGCTAACTTCTCATTCATTTGAAGCCTTTTGCTATGATGAGTCTTGGTTACACCTATCTGAGGGCACATAGCATGCAATTGCCTACCAAGTATAGACAGAGTCTCTTGACATTCTGCCAGCTTTTTCTCTGCAGCTGCTAGCTCTTTATCCTGTTGTCATGAAGATATCAGAGAAAACTGAGTTGAAAAAGGTGATGAAGCCATGAAGGAAGCCAGATAACATGAGAAAGCAGGGCAGATGGCACAGAGGAGAAAGAAAAGTTATTTCACAAGTGCAAAGACAAACATATCACTAGAGTTAGTAGCATCAAACAACAGTTTTATTTAGAACAAGGACACATCATATCCACATTTTTTTAGTTTGATGCAGATTTTTAGCTATAATATGATTGATTTCCTTTTGAACTCAAATGTACACATTACTTCAGATCCAATTCAATAGAAGTGCAAAAGGAGTAAAGCAAGAAAACATGCATTGTTTTGCTTGTGGTGGACAAATAAAGTTGTTCAAAACACCAAATGTAAAACGTGCTTGCAGCATCTCTCACTTGAAAAGTTCAAACATGAAATGCATTTTATTTCACAGGATATTAAGGACTTCCTATCACATCGAAATAGCCTCTTGCTAGATGAATATTTTTGCCAACATATAAATGACTCCAAGACTAATCTATTAGTGATCCACATGCAGTTATTTAAAAATGCGGTTGGAGAAGGAGATGCATTTGTGAACAAGTATCCAAGACCTCAATTTTGAGCAAAGAATCCTATATGTCAAATATATTTCATTATTTCATATTTAAGAGTTCTCTACTTGCAAAACATGCGTGATGATATATAGGAAATAATGCAAGATCAAATGTAGCTATAAAAGATACGTAAATTATGTAAATGTAAATACCTTCCCCGAATTTTCTGCACACAACAAGCACTTGTCCCTTCAAGTGGCAAACACAAAAATTTCAGAAAGGATCGCATATCAAGCTCAAGAAACAAAGCTCAAACTATAAAGTATAGAAACCATGTCATTGTTGCCAATTAAGGCTCAAAGCTAACCTAAGCATTTTCTCTTCAATTTCTTTATACCTCACCAAAGCATCACGATGACTTTGTTTTTCCTCAGCAAGATCATTATTTAGCTCATCTATCTTTTCCTTTAAATACCTATTTTCAGCTTCTAACCCCTCCACACGTGTTTGAAGTGACTTGTAAGACTCGGTCATACATTTCAGCTGAATCTCAGCCAAACTACATGATTTATGAGACAATGCCAATTGTGCTTTCAGATCTTTTAGAAGCTGCATGTTTTCCTGCAACATCAGTTCTTTTTTCTTGGGATCTTGCAGATGCTCATCATGTTCAGCCGCCTTATCAAGGTAACCACTGTCAGCCTCAGGTTCTATGGTTTGGTTCGTCCTGTCACGCCAATTTTGATTTGAAGATAAACAGTTAGTCTCCTTTTTATCTTTGGCATCACTAGCTTTACTATTGACGCCAAGAGGTACACCACCATTGTCTGATAAACATGCCATCTTCTCCACTTCCAGAAAGTCATCCATAAGTTCTGAGATAGTTTCACTCTTATGATTCACAAATTTACCTACACTTCCAATCCTCCTGATATTAGAATGGTCAGGAATCGATGTTGAACATGACTCAGCAGGACTTTCTGGATCCTCATGCCCATTGTCAGACATAGAAGAGATGCTTGGTGGATAGGTATAAATTCTACTGATTGAGTTTCCATAATTGGTTGCCAAATTTGCTTTCTGAGCGCTTCTTTCTTGATGGATCTCTGCTTCCAAGCGCTTAAATCTGCCAACTGTTTTAGCATACAAGTTTCTAGAAGCCTGCAGTTCAGCATTACTTGAGGCCAATGCTTCTTTTAATGTCTTTGTTTCTTCTTCCAGCACCTCCAGTTGTTTGGTAAGAAACTCAGATTCTTGCATGCTATCAGTTTTTGAACAAGTTTTTCTTAGATGGGATGCACTGATGACATGATGTGAACTCTCAACTTCTAGCTTCATTTGTGCCAATGCAGCAGGCCCAGGTAACTTCTTTCTCAACAGACCACGCAGTCGTTGGCACTCACTCTCTAGCTTGGCAATGTTCTTGACATCTTCTGCGTGTTGTTTGTTCGCCACTTCTGCTGATCTCATAATCATATTCTTCTCTTCATTTCGGATATCCAGCTCCTTGGAAATCATGTGCAGCTCATACTTCAGTGAAGTTATTTCTTTTTCTTTTGACTGAATACTCTTCTTTAGAAGCTCTACCTCTGCCTCAGCTTCAGACTTTTCTTCTTTCAGTTTCACTATGTTGTTGGAACTTTCTTGAAGTGATCTTAGAAGGGCATCATTTTCACCAGCTACCTCACGAAGTCCTTCATCCAAATTGTCTATTTGTGCTTCAAGTTCTAACTTGATTTTCTCCCACTGATTGGATTTCATATGAATCACCTCCTGCAGTTTCCGCTCACTTTCTTCCTTTACAGTTCTTATCTGCTTCATGCACTCTTTTAGAGCTCCATCTAGGTGAGCCGCTTTCTCATCAGCAGTAAGTTTAGAGAGAGAAAAAGATTCAAGTTGACGTTTTAGGGAAACAACTTCTGCATCAGCTTTCTCCCAACCTAAAATGCAAAGAAAGCTTAATTAACTATCTCCCATTTTTACTTAATAAGTATAATATAGAAATTGAATGACTGAACTAATTATTTCATTTTTTATAGTCGAGTTTTCTTCTAAAAAAATGGTTACATGGAGTTATGTACATTTCTGTATATGCAAGTATTACCTGAGACTGCTTCCTCTGCAACTTTTGCATGCTGTTTAACTAAAGTATCCTTGTTATTTAATTCTGAATAAACTGCAGATAGCTTTGCTTCCAAAGCTTTTACTTGATCCTCCAAATTTGCAGCTTGATCTTCCAATCCAGACATACGCGTGTATGATTCCATTGATATTTGAACATAGTTCTTACTGTTGCTGTTGTCTTGCTAAAAGTAAAACAAAAGAACAAGGCTGGTGAGAAATTTAACAAGTGACTTCATGTAAAAATGTCTTCATTAGTGAACCTTTAAAAATTAAACAAAATACCTGATCTCCTACATGTGCCACAGAAGACAAGGTAGAACCAACAGATTCAAATGTAGACACTGGTTTCTCATTCTCATTCTTTATGTTTTTATCAGATGATTTTTTCTTCCAGAGCCAACCCCGACGGTCCATCTCAAAATTCCACCCTGCTCACATCATTTTACTATCAGGTGAAAAGAATTTTATAGTATTAGGGTTTTGGATAAATTTCTCCAAAAACACTTCTAGGAGTAAAAAATATCATGGAAAAATGAAATAAACTTCTATATAAACTAGAGCTATTTTATACATAAGCTTATTTGTAATTTTTTTGGAGATGTTACATGAAAGCTTCTGCAATGCATAAGCTAAATTTAAATTATGGAGAAAAATATTTATTTTTTTTTCCATATTTTTTCTTCCTGGAAGTGTTTATGAAGAAATTTATACCAATAGGCTCTTGATATGCATTGATAAGCTGAATTCAATGCCGGTTTCAAATATTGTGATTATAACAAAATCATATCGAACCAAAGAAACCAGATAGAAATGCACTTTGTCATTTGTAGTCAAAACTTTTGTCACAGTGGCAAACTATAAACTTTCTAGTCAAAATAAATTTATGCAATAATTCTTTCATGATTATTGTCAATGAGTGAAAAATATATTGCTATACCGGCATTTGCTTTCCTAGAAAAGCATTTTTGGAAAGTCTTGTAATAAAAATGTGGTCTTTCCATCCACCGTATGGTTGCAAATAAGACCTTGCACCACAATCTGTTTTTTTTTTTCTTTAACATGGTTTCTCTAAAAGCTAAACTGCTCTGTTTTGCGCAAGAAGTTATCATAATTTGGTAGTCTGCTAAACGACCTAAACTGAACGAAGGGAAAAAAAATCCGTGACATTAACTACTTTCTTCCGTTTCTAAAATTCAAATTTAGTTTGGAGCAATCAATTACCTCATGAGCTTCAAAATCCAACAAAGAAAAGAAAACCCCAAATAAAACAGTGGTAACAAGGTAGAATGCACTGACTGCCACCTCAAGCCCCAGTAGCATCACTTGTTTGCAACACTCAAGTTGAAATAATGATATATATAAACAGAAAATGAAAGAAAAAAATGTAGAAAGAAGAAATAAAACTTACCCTCAAAGGAGAAAAAAGAATGGAGGTCTTTTAGTTTCTGTGAAGGAAAATGAGGATTGGGGATGAATGGGTGTGTTGGCTCCTGAAGGCCTGAAAGAGTGAGTTAAAAATCTTTGACTTGAGAGTGTGAAGAGAAGAGAGACAGAGAAACGAGGAGAGGAGCGGGGTTAAGGTAATGAACTAATGGCCAAACGTGCGCGTGTGTGGTCACTGTTTAAACGCTCCTGCGGCTCCACCTCGATAAAAACTAATAATAGTTTTAAAAAATTACTATAAAACGAAAAGGTGACGAAAGAACGTCATAGTCAAAACGATACGTATTGGGATTTTTATGTTTTTGTTTATAATGGATAATACGTATTTGAACGATGGAAAATATTCAAGTTGCTTTTGTTGTCGTTTAGGGTTTCTTTTTCTACCTTGGTGGTTGTCGTTTAGGTGGGTCGAAGCTTGGCATTGGGAGGTGTGAATTCCCATCAGCTACGTCTACGAATAGAAATCAAAAGCTGGACTGGAACGACCTTTGTCCAATTGCACCTTTGTAGTGTTTGCGTGAATTTGAATAGCTATACTAATTGTTTTTAGTGTTTTGTTTTGTCGTTGCTATAAATGCAAGAAAAGTTTCAAATATCTCATGTGCGCTTCCTTTTACATGTTTTTCATTGCTCAAGGCTTGTATAGATATTTTTTAAGCATTGCTTAAGGCTTATACGGATTTTTTTATTTTATTTTTTACATTGCTCGACTTATGTTGATTTCTTTCATGGAGATATATTTCCTAGATATTGTTTATATTGTTTTCAATTCAAATTAAAATTTTATTTCGATATTTTGTATAATGAAAATTTGTATCTAAGAATTATACAAATGATCAAATATAATACTAATTCTAATTGAAAAAAATAATCTAAACAATACCTAACAAGCTATAGAAAAGTTGTCATTTATTTTATACATAGGGGAAGAGTATTCACTATTATTTATATAAAATGCCCATTTTATTTCTTTAATTGACTTTGTCAAAATTTTAAGCAAGATGAATAAGTTTTACTATTATTGTTTATAAGGGGATTCTCACATATGCACATGACAATAGTAAGATAGTGTCCACTTTGAATGTAATCTCTTATAGTTTTGTTTTTGGTCATTACTCAGAAAATCTCTTACAAATAGAGACATTGTGTGTATAAAAATTTATATCCATCCTTTTGTTTTGAAGATATAGAACTTTGGTAGTATTCCAATAATTCTCCCATCAAATGATCATGGATTATCCCTCTTTATAATGGAAGCTAATCCACAATTATATTCGATGGTGTCCATAAAATTCAATCATACTCTAAATTCTTGTAGTGTCACTCCATTAATAACTTACAATAGTGACACACACCTCCTAACCCTCCATATTACCAAAAAGTTTATCTTTCATATATGGATTCACTATTAGAAAGACTTTTGATACAAAGAATATACCTTAATCCACCTACCAATTCCATTATACTCGTTGAGATAGTTACCTAGTCGAAATCATTGGTTTTGATACCACTTTTGTGTACTAGAAATTTTCATAAGAGACCTTTGTGGTGTCTCAAAAGTTCACACACACACACGCGCGCCAATTCCATTATACTTGTCGAGATAGTTACCTAGTCGAAATCATTGGTTCTGATATCACTTTTGTGTACTGGGAATTTTCATAAGAGACCTTTGTGGTGTCCCAAAAGTTCACACACACACACACACATATATATATATAGTTCCACATTAATAAGATATTATTCACTTTAAATTTAAGTCTTCATAATTTTATTTTTAATCATCATTCACTTTTTACTAATGAAGATATTATGTGTATATATAAATATATATTCATCCTTTTTATTTTAAATATATGAAATTTTGGTTATATCCCAACAAGAATAATTATTTATATAAGTAATTATTTTCAATTTTAAACAAGTTAAAATTACATGAGACATTAAAATAATATTTTATTGTTAATCAACCTATAAGATATACTTAAACAACTCATAGATATTCTAAGTTTTATTTATTTATTTTATAGTTTCATATTTTTCACAAAAACATACAAATTTTTCTATACTTAAATAAGCAATTAATTAATATGGTGTTGGTAGGAGTGAGTAGATGGAGAGTATGATAGACCAATATTACATAAGATTTATGGTAGACCACAATATTTGACTATTAGATTAATCTAATTTGTAGATCAATATGATGCACCTTTGGCACCATTTTTTTTTCCACAGATTATTTGTTGTATTTGATTGGATGCTCCGCATGCTTCATTGTTGCCTTGAGCTCTGCTACCTTGTTACATCCTACTCTGCCACCATGCAACTTTGACATATCCATTTTTGTTGTTGTTATCATACTTTGCTGTTACTTTTTTGTTGCATCATTCTTCATCCTGTTCCATGGTTCTGTTGCCTTTTATCACTGTTACTTGTGATCTTTTTTCTGATCACCAATGAATAATATAATTTTTATGCGAGAGAAATTAGTTTTAGATGAGAGAGGATATATAATACGATTTGGTGTAAGGATTAATCAAAGATCATTAACAAAAGTACATGGTGATCACATGTCACAATAGACCAACCTAAAATTAGTCAAGTATATATTATATTAATAAGGTACATCATTTTTAATATTCCCATGCCCAGCAAAAGATATGCAAGCACGACAAACTATTTTTATTAATTGGGAGAAATTTACTCAACAACTTTTCTACTATTAATATGAATATGAGTTAATTCTCGATTTACACTTTTACTTGTATTATTAAGTGATAGCAAATGAGAAAAACAAAACATTTAAATTCTATCCGATCATACGAAATGAATAAAAACTTGTAAGAAATGAATTCACTCTTTTTTTTTATTCATTATAATTTCACTCATTAATAAATCTACAATAATGTATGCACTTTTCTGGCCGAGATAGATATCGTTAATAAATAAGTTTATATTTAAAATTATTAAGAAAGAATGTAAGATCATAATGGGTAAACAGAATATAAAAACAAACTTATTTTAAACACATGTACATGAACATTTTAAACACAAACTTATTTAATATATATATATATATATATATATATTAAATAAGTTTGTGTTTAAAATGTTCATGTACATGTGTTTAAAATAAGTTTGTTTTTATATTCTGTTTACCCATTATGATCTTACATTCTTTCTTAATAATTTTAAATATAAACTTATTTATTAACGATATCTATCTCGGCCAGAAAAGTGCATACATTATTGTAGATTTATTAATGAGTGAAATTATAATGAATAAAAAAAAAGAGTGAATTCATTTCTTACAAGTTTTTATTCATTTCGTATGATCGGATAGAATTTAAATGTTTTGTTTTTCTCATTTGCTATCACTTAATAATACAAGTAAAAGTGTAAATCGAGAATTAACTCATATTCATATTAATAGTAGAAAAGTTGTTGAGTAAATTTCTCCCAATTAATAAAAATAGTTTGTCGTGCTTGCATATCTTTTGCTGGGCATGGGAATATTAAAAATGATGTACCTTATTAATATAATATATACTTGACTAATTTTAGGTTGGTCTATTGTGACATGTGATCACCATGTACTTTTGTTAATGATCTTTGATTAATCCTTACACCAAATCGTATTATATATCCTCTCTCATCTAAAACTAATTTCTCTCGCATAAAAATTATATTATTCATTGGTGATCAGAAAAAAGATCACAAGTAACAGTGATAAAAGGCAACAGAACCATGGAACAGGATGAAGAATGATGCAACAAAAAAAAAGTACCGCAAAAATATATTTTGTTGCAACATCTTAGCAATATAACTTTATTCGGTAGTATAATTTTTTTTTTTTTATTGGAGTATCCACTGCCGATAGGCGTGATTAATTTCCTCGCTACGTGTTGGAAGTACCTCAAAGAGTGGGATAACTGACCCCAAGATTTAAAGTGGCTGTATACATAAGGCAAAATTCGAACTTCTGACTTTGTTTAAGCATGGATCAACCCCTACCACTGAACCACACGCTTGGAGTTATTCGGTAGTATAATTAGTACTTGAGTTTATAAATTTTAAATCATTTTTAATTTAATCAACTATCTTATAGATCGGCCGAGTAAGAAATCAGTTATACCTTTCTATAAAAAAAATGAAATGTTTTTTTATTTATTAATTTTCTCAAACACCCCAAAGGGCCAAACTGTTTTATTCAGGGACATAGATTTTGCACGGTTCAATCCGACCAGTTTAATATAATTCATTTAACCCGCTAACAATCAATGAAAACTCTCAAATTTGTATATACTACTTGGACATGGTTTAAATTTTATATTGGATTTTTATTGTTATAAACTTTTATTTTATATCCTTATCAATAATTAATTAATTACTAACTTCCGAGTTGTTTTTATTTATTTTAAATACATTGAAAAATAAAATCAATAACATTACTGTTGCACCTTTTTTCTTTTTAAGTAAAACTCAGGCAATCTTATCTTATCAGGCCTTAGTCCAACCCACATGTAAAAGGGTCCATGAAGCCCATATTGATTCGGGCCTGATCTTTCAGCAACCTAGGTCAAAGGCAAAACGGCGTCGCGTTGTTATATATAAGAAGCAAAGCAAAAAACCCTAACTTCGATCCCTCCTTCCACCGGCGCGGCAGAGAGTACAGTAGTGTTGTTGGATCGTAATGGGTAGGGTGATTCGTGCACAGCGTAAGGGTGCGGGGTCGGTGTTCAAGTCCCACACCCACCACCGCAAGGGTCCGGCGAGGTTCCGCAGTTTGGACTTCGGCGAACGGAACGGGTACCTGAAGGGCGTGGTCACCGACATCATCCACGACCCCGGGCGCGGCGCCCCTCTGGCCAAGGTCACCTTCCGCCACCCCTTCCGCTACAAGAAGCAGAACGAGCTCTTCGTCGCCGCCGAGGGCCTCTACACCGGCCAGTTCATTTACTGCGGCAAGAAGGCCACCCTCGTCGTCGGCAATGTCTTGCCCATCAGATCCATCCCCGAAGGTGCCGTCATCTGCAACGTCGAGCACCACGTCGGTGACCGCGGCGTCTTCGCCAGAGCCTCCGGCGACTACGCCATTGTTATCAGCCACAACCCCGATAACGATACCTCTAGGTTTTCGCTTGCCTCTTTCCTTTCGTTTTTGTTTGAGCATTATTGGTTTTGCGTATGTTTCGTTTGTTTTATTGCTTCAAAATCTTTGCTTGAGATGTGGGTCAATCGCTTTGCTTCTGTCGTGTCCAGCATCCTTGGGTGTTGCTAGTTAGCATGCTTCGTATTCGTTCCCTAACGGTATGGAACTTCCGCTGTAATTATTGTTGATATTTGTTTTAGTCTGTTTTACATTTAACTATGGTATTGTTTGTGTAAACTTACAAAGAAGCAATTCAAGGTGTGAAAAACAAAGGAAGAAAAAATGAAATAAACTTTTTAAATAAGCTAAGATTAGCTTGTGTAGTAATTAATTTGTAGAAGCTTTTCTCTTATTAGCTTCTCCAAAATTTTATTTTTAACTGGTTTTAGTTTATGGAGAAGTTTATTTTGATTTTCTTTATTTTTTCTCCAACTGTAGATGTTTATTCAAACATGCCCTTAAGTGAATTATATTTTTCAGCATTATACAAAATCAGAGATTATTGTATAATATTTCTTTATTAAGAACTGAAACAGTAATGTGGGAGTAAAGTGAAATTGGGTTATATAGTTAGGAATTAAAACAATGATGATGCTAGTATGATAAATTATGAATGTCTTGCATTGAAGTGTGAGTTTTCGAGTTTATTGGTGTACTTTGTTGGCAGGATCAAGCTTCCTTCTGGTGCGAAGAAGATTGTGCCAAGTGGGTGTAGGGCGATGATTGGGCAAGTTGCGGGAGGAGGGAGGACTGAGAAGCCTCTTCTTAAGGCTGGTAATGCTTACCACAAGTTTAGAGTAAAGAGGAATTGCTGGCCTAAGGTGCGTGGTGTGGCTATGAACCCTGTTGAGCATCCTCATGGAGGAGGTAACCACCAACATATTGGGCATGCTAGTACCGTTCGGCGTGATGCTCCTCCTGGCCAGAAGGTTGGTCTCATTGCTGCTAGGAGGACTGGTCGTCTTAGGGGACAAGCTGCTGCCACTGCTGCCAAAGCTGATAAGACTTCTTGAAGAGTTTCTTAGGGTTGTATTTGATTATTATTATAAGTTCTCAAATTTTGTTTCTTTAGTAGTTTATGTTTAACTGTTTTGAGTACTACTTCGAGCACCATTTTCCCCATAAATATGAAGCTGGCAATAGACGGTGTATTTGTTCGAGATTTATTCACTGCTGTTGTTTGTCAACCTTTTACTGCTAGCAACTAGTTGGTACTTGGAATGCTTCTCTCATTTCAGTGTGGTTTTTGTTTTAGCTGCACCTTATCATATTTTTATGCTATTTTGCTTGTGTTAAAGTGAAGTTTCCCACTTTTCCTACCTTTGGCGGCCAGATTGTCAGGGAATGGCTCTTATTTCGTCAGAACACCTGGTTGTAGGCATAACTCCGTGATAATTAATGACTGCCCAGCTGAACTATGATGGATTAGTTTCGTTAAATTGTTTGTTATAATGGATTTGAATCTTGATGAATAATAAGTTGTGGTTAAGTTGAGAGATAAATTTATAGCTCTTGTCAAATATAGTTCAGTAGTTTTGTAACCAAGTATTATAAGTTATTTAATTAAAGGTGTATTATTTTCTTTTTTAAAATTATTAAATTGTATTTTTTAATATGAAGACAGGAATAAAAATGGAGTGGAAACTTATAAGTGGATTAATTGAATTGAAAATATTTAGGAAGATTAATTAGTCAATTAGCTGATAAATGAAGAATAATATAAAAAGAAATATTAATTATTTGAGGTGACAGAGAATTAAAATGAATTAATTAATGAAGATAAAAATACAAAAATAATAAGTTATTAGTTTATGAGAAAAAGATCATCGATAGATTTATATAGTCATTTAATCATAAGTCCTATTTTAGTGAATTAGTTGATTGTTAAAATAAATATTTTTAAAGTTTTAAGCATAAAATAACAATCTTAATAATTATTTTATTGGTTACACTGAATTGGTTAATTGGACTCGTTCAATCAAAAATCGATATGATTGGTTCTAAATATTATTTTTAATTTCTAAAATTTAATTTAAAATATTTTTAATAAAATACATATTTTAAAATTATATATATTAAAATAATTTACTTTTTTTTTTTTTGGTTCGTCCCTGGAGTATCCGCCGATAGCAGTGACTAATCTCCTCGCTACGTTGGAGGCACCTCAAAGGGTGGGATAGACGCAGCTGCATACACAAGGCAGGATTCGGACCCTTAACCTTGTTTAAGCGTGGATCAACCCCTACCGCTGAACCACACGCTTGGGGTTAAATAATTTACTTTTAATACTGTCTTATAAATATAATTAAATTATTTATATTAATTTAAAACTTTTAATGTCTTTATTTTTTTATAATTTATATTATATTAATTTGATATCTTTTATTCTAAATGAAAAATTATATTATTAATGGATAGTTATATTTTATTAAAATTTAAATTTAAATATTATATTACATTAAATGTTAAAAATTAATAAATAACGTTTTATTTTTATTTATACTGTTATATAAATTATGTTATTATATTTATTTAATATTTTTTATTGATAATAATTATTATTTTTACTTTATTAGTACCGATTTGATTATAATTCAATTACAGTTAAATTATTAAACTTTAAATCAAAACTTAAATTGATTCAATGATTTATCCAATTTTAAGAATATTAATTTTTAACATAACTAATAAACTCAAAAAAATTTGTTAAGAATGATCAAAAATCGTATATATTAGATTAAAGAATTCTATTAAAAAATATTTTTCATTTTGCCCTTAAAAAATAATATCAATAAAAAGTCTTTTTTGTTTTCTTTAATATTTTAATTTTTAACATTATTATTGATAAATATTGATTTATATTGCTACAATTTGGATTAAATTATTATAATATATTTAATTTGAATGCTTGTATATATTTTAAATATTGAAACTGTATAAAATTTATAATTTATTTTTAATTTTTAGTATTGTAAAGTCATAATATTACACTTTTTTTAATGCTATTTAATTTATTAATTATTATTATTATTATTTACTAATATCGATATAATTACGATTTAACCATTTTAGTTTGAACTAGTACTTTGTTTTTTTTTTCAATGATTGATCCAAAAGCATTCATTATGTCTTACCTATATTAAAAAACATTCATAAACATGATTTAATATCGTTATTTAATTTCAAATTTTACAATTAAGATACAAGTATTTAATAATAAATTTTTTTATTAGACTAATAACATGCTGGAACTTGCCATAATTATAAAGTTTAGACTAACCCATGGTTAATCTTGAATGATTGGAGAAATGGATTAATGAAAGGTTTATACAACAATTTTTTGTTGTCTATAGATTGAAATAGTGTTATGAACTCGCTCCACTGAGTCCATTCGATTGAACATTTGAACCCACTTAAGAGAAGGATGAAAAGCCCATAGTATCAAAATGACACAAATTCAAGAGTTAAAAAAAAAAAAAGTTGAAGTAAGGCACCCATAAAATGAGCTCGCCCACTACAATCAACAATTATTATAAAAATACATTAATTTCAAAATCAATGTCTAATTATGAACATACACATACACTAGAGCGTTTCTCGTATTTTTTCTTCAACAGGCTATTTTTAGAAATCTTTTCCTAACCCCTTATCATTTACAATATTTTTTTTTAATTTATTAGTGAAAAAATATATATCACTTTCGGCTCACATATTATTTTAAAATAAATTATAAATAATAATCTTATTTATTTAAATTATAATAGTTTTTCTTGAACAATACTATTTTTAAGATTTTTTTTTCAACGTGAGTATTTTTAACTATTTTTCTTTAGAATTAATATTTTTTGAAAATTTCTTAACTTTTTTTAATCTCTTTTAGTTTATCATTCTAAGTATTATTTTTAAATTAAAATTTAATATTTAAAAATTATCAATAATTTAAAATAATTTTGTATCACATTATATATTAATTATGATGTAAAATTAAAATATAATTTATATGGTTAAAAATATTTATTTATTATAAACTTTAATTATAATATATTATATATCTATACTAATATATAAAGGAGATACCCTTTTTTGATAACTATCTTGCTCTCCACTTTTTTGGACTATTATACCCTTTTATTTTAAAAAATTAGAAAAAATATTTTTTAATCAAATTTAAAAACTTGAAACTAATAAATCTATACTAATACTAATATATAAAGGGGATACTACTTTCAATAACTACTTTTGATTTTTATTTTTACATGAATCATTTTATCCTTTATTTATTTTTCAATAATTACCTTTTTTATGAGTAATTTCTCATTTTTTGTTTTTTAATTTATTCTTTTTTTCTTTTAATACAATGCAGGCCACAGAGTGCCTTTTTCCTGCTAGTATATATAAAGTATTTAAATATTATAATTTTTATTATATAAAATATAAAAAGAAAACTAATTGTGAGCGAGCTTGTAAATGTGAAATATATGAATGAGGAGTGAGAAAACTATTACAATAAGTTTGACACTAAAATATTTAGATATTAGACTAACGAATTTTTCTTACTTATATACTACTCATGATATTCAATTATATCAGAGTTATATTAGAGAATTCAATATCAAAAAACACTCTAATAAATACTAAATAAATCACATAAACTAATAAATGAGTTTGATATATCATATCATATTAATATGATTAATAAAATTTTGTCACTTATATATTATTCAAAATAAATACTCAACCGTAACAGTATCATTTCACTCTTAAATTCTAAGATTGAAATAAAAAAGTTGAGTACATCATTATTTTGGCACCTTCCGGTAACAATAAGAGCCTGCCTCACTTCACGAGAGCCTCCACTAACATATCAAGAGCAACAACTTGCTTCATTCGGGAATCTCCACCTTCAAAAATATTTACACCATAACATTTGAACCATTTTTTTATTAATAAAATTGAATTATTCCATTAAAATTTCACGTTCAAACACACAATTAACCTCTTATGAGGATTCTGTACGATGCCCCCTCTTCTCTTTATCAAGTTTATCTTGCTGATGTAATGGGCGTTACTACCCATCATCGACATTTGTCTTTTGTTTCTGTTGATATTAATAAAAAGAGATAAACACCAGCTATACCATCTAGTCCACCTAGCTCATGCATGAATGAAGCACAAGCTTGTCACATACACTAAGAGCTAGGATGCACCTATGCTCCTACGCTTTCAATATAATATATATATAGGAGGGTTCAAACGACACCGATGTAATTTTTACTAAGTGTTACACCACTTAATATCTTTATATTAAATGTGAATTTTGAAAATCCAACCATTAGATTGAAAGTCCATATCTCTTAGATCATATATATCAAATTTTATTATAAACTTTAATTATAATATATTATATATCTATACTAATATATAAAGGAGATACCCTTTTTTGATAACTATCTTGCTCTCCACTTTTTTGGACTATTATACCCTTTTATTTTAAAAAATTAGAAAAAATATTTTTTAATCAAATTTAAAAACTTGAAACTAATAAATCTATACTAATACTAATATATAAAGGGGATACTACTTTCAATAACTACTTTTGATTTTTATTTTTACATGAATCATTTTATCCTTTATTTATTTTTCAATAATTACCTTTTTTATGAGTAATTTCTCATTTTTTGTTTTTTAATTTATTCTTTTTTTCTTTTAATACAATGCAGGCCACAGAGTGCCTTTTTCCTGCTAGTATATATAAAGTATTTAAATATTATAATTTTTATTATATAAAATATAAAAAGAAAACTAATTGTGAGCGAGCTTGTAAATGTGAAATATATGAATGAGGAGTGAGAAAACTATTACAATAAGTTTGACACTAAAATATTTAGATATTAGACTAACGAATTTTTCTTACTTATATACTACTCATGATATTCAATTATATCAGAGTTATATTAGAGAATTCAATATCAAAAAACACTCTAATAAATACTAAATAAATCACATAAACTAATAAATGAGTTTGATATATCATATCATATTAATATGATTAATAAAATTTTGTCACTTATATATTATTCAAAATAAATACTCAACCGTAACAGTATCATTTCACTCTTAAATTCTAAGATTGAAATAAAAAAGTTGAGTACATCATTATTTTGGCACCTTCCGGTAACAATAAGAGCCTGCCTCACTTCACGAGAGCCTCCACTAACATATCAAGAGCAACAACTTGCTTCATTCGGGAATCTCCACCTTCAAAAATATTTACACCATAACATTTGAAC